GTGCAGTGTGTGAGGCAAGGGTCGTCTGTGCCCGTGCAGTGTGTGAGGTGAGGGTCATCTGTGTCCTGCAGTGTGTGAGGTGAGGGTCATCTGTGCCCGTGCAGTGTGTGAGGTGCGGGTCATCTGTGCCGTGCAGTGTGTGAGGTGAGGGTCATCTGTGCCCGTGCAGTGTGTGAGGTGAGGGTCATCTGTGCCCGTGCAGTGTGTGAGGTGCGGGTCATCTGTGCCGTGCAGTGTGTGAGGTGAGGGTCATCTGTGCCCGTGCAGTGTGTGAGGTGAGGGTCGTCTGTGCCCGTGCAGTGTGTGAGGCGAGGGTCATCTGCGCCCGTGCAGTGTGTGAGGCGAGGGTCGTCTGTGCCCCTGCAGTGTGTGAGGCGAGGGTCATCTGCGCCCATGCAGTGTGTGAGGCGAGGGTCAACTGTGTCCTGCAGTGTGTGAGGCGAGGGTCATCTGTGCCCATGCAGTGTGTGAGGCGAGGGTCGTCTGTGCCCGTGCAGTGTGTGAGGTGAGGGTCATCTGCTCCCCTGCAGTGTGTGAGGTGAGGGTCATCTGTGTCCTGCAGTGTGTGAGGCGAGGGTCGTCTGCGCCCATGCAGTGTGTGAGGTGAGGGTCATCTGTGCCCGTGCAGTGTGTGAGGCGAGGGTCGTCTGTGCCCGTGCAGTGTGTGAGGTGAGGGTCATCTGTGCCCGTGCAGTGTGTGAGGCGAGGGTCGTCTGTGCCCGTGCAGTGTGTGAGGTGAGGGTCATCTGCGCCCATGCAGTGTGTGAGGCGAGGGTCATCTGTGCCATGCAGTGTGTGAGGCGAGGGTCGTCTGTGCCCGTGCAGTGTGTGAGGTGAGGGTCATCTGCTCCCCTGCAGTGTGTGAGGTGAGGGTCATCTGTGTCCTGCAGTGTGTGAGGCGAGGGTCGTCTGCGCCCATGCAGTGTGTGAGGTGAGGGTCATCTGTGCCCGTGCAGTGTGTGAGGCGAGGGTCGTCTGTGCCCGTGCAGTGTGTAAGGTGAGGGTCATCTGCGCCCGTGCAGTGTGTGAGGCGAGGGTCATCTGTGCCCGTGCAGTGTGTGAGGCGAGGGTCATCTGTGCCCGTGCAGTGTGTGAGGTGAGGGTCATCTGTCTCTACCAAAGACTGGCGGGTATGATAATGAGCACTTTCCCCAGGACACAAAAGCATCAGGGACAAAGGAATTTAAGGCTAGACAGAGCATCAGAGGTAAGCCCAGGTCCTGTGTCTATTTGTGAGGAACCAAGTCCAGCAAGGTCATAATTTGACACAACCACAACTGAAACCTACCTCTCACCACACCTAACTGTTTTCCTTACTCATCACTTTCAAAAGTAAAAAACCACACACACACACACACACACACACACACACACACACAAAGTCCCAAAGCTCAAGAGAACAAAGTTCAGTTAGTCTAGGCTTCTCATCCGATTTTCAAATGTGAAGGCTTCCTTAAACATTAACCCTTTCAACATTGGTAAAACTGAAGTCCTAGTTTCAATTCTACTGCTGTGATAAAAAGCACCCGACAAAAAGTAAGTTAGAGGAGAAAGGGTTGTTTCAGCTTGAGATTGTAAGTCACGGGCCAGCAAGACAGGGAAGTCAAGGCAGGCACATCAGCTAACAGCACACCCACAGTCAAGAGCAGAGAGAGATGCTGCATGCCTACTCAGCCCACTTTCCCCATCCACATCTGTCCAAGACACAATGCTGCCAGCTCAGTGGGCTGCACTTGAGCTAACACAATCAAGACGACTGCGCACAGGCCAATCTCTCACCGAGACTCTCGTCCCAAGAGATCCTGTCAAATTGACAACTAGAACCACCACCAGTTGCAGGACTCTTAGTTCTTTCAAGTACCTAATTTTGAAATAGTAGCAATTTTTTTCACTTTATTGTACTGAATGATTCTCAGAAGTAAAATCCATTCCCATTTTATACTAAACACAGGCAATTTTTAATTAAAAATATGATAGTCATTTTTTAGATGAAGATGTTTAGGAGTATTAGTGATGATGCTTTAACTACTTCTAAGGAGGAAACATGCTATAGGTGCTGTAAGTGTTGACTCTGGGCACAGTGCATGCTTCATAAGCAGTTCCAACATTCCTTAGCCCTGTAGCCTTGGGCACATTTCTTCTGTGTGATGGGCGTGTGTGTGTGTGTGTGTGTGTGTGTGTGTGTGTATGTGTGTATGTGTGTGTGTGTGTGTGCAGGTGTGTACATGCACAGCACCCATCGAGGAACCAGAGGACAACCTCAGGAAGCAGTCCTCAGGCACCTTCTACTTTTTTGTCTTGAGACGGGGTCTCTCATTTGTCTGGCTGGCCCAAAAGACTCCAGGGAACCACCTGTCCCCACCTGTCATGTTGCCAATGCTGTGATTAAAGATACATGGCACCAGCATGACATTCTGTATGGATTCTGGGGACCTGAACTCAGGTCCTCATGCTTGTGAGGCAAGTGCTCTGCACCCTGAGTCATTCCCTGAGCCCCACATGTCTTACCTTCTTCCAGCCTCAGTTTACAAGTCCTTGTTATAAAACAGTGATGCTAATACAACATGACTTTTAAAAATGTGAAACCACTGCTCTTCAGTATAAACATAACATTGGGACAGAAGAACTAGAAGTCAGTTTCAAAGAATGCTGCTGCTATTGTGGAGAGAGATGTATTTGCATGTTCCGGAATTATTGCCACTGCTCTGTCACTGTGACTCCATGAAGTATGAAGAAATTGTTATGTGAGAAAATCTGCAGCTGAATATTTGGAAGGCACGGAAAACATTTTCCTATAGTTCTGACGATGATTCTAAACAAGGAAGTGTCATCAGTTTTCAATTATTGAAGGGTAAAAACTATTGTTTTAATTTCCTTTGAATGATATGAGAAAGGTGCCCAGAATGTACCAGTGTATAGAAATAATTTGAAAGCAATGATTGTTCTTAGACTCTGGGGAAAAAAAGAATATCACTAAACAGGAGTAATCTCTATCAGGAACTTGTGAACTCTAAGGGTGGAAAAAAGACAAGATGCTTGAGTCAGCTCCCTTGAGAGCCTCTGGCAGTGCTGGAGGACTCGGTGTTTCCTTTTTCCTTCACTTACTAACCACAGATTCACCCCAGGACTCAGGGCATGGTGGGTGCAGAGCATTGGGAGGTAAAAGTGATCAATTCTGAGTGAGGCTGGAGGTGCAGCATTTGCTTCCCTGACCAGGTCTGTTAGGAGGATGTTGCACAAATGAACAGTCCCCTCCATTATTTTGCAATAAGAGTTCAGTTCTCTGTCTTCAGAGCTTTCCCCTACTCCCGAGTAGTGTGCCGGAGATGCCTACTATGTGCTAGGAGACACTTGCAATGGCCCAAGGACTGCTGACTACACTTAGCAGCCTGGTAGATTCCCTGCAATGCCCTTGCTGCTGGTAGGAAAGTAAACCACTCTTTAGCTCCATGGTAAACTCTGCATATGGTTCTTAGTCCTTTAGAAAAAATATTATCTTCTCTCTCCAGTCTTCCGACCACTGTTGAAATGTTTATCCTAGTCTTAGAACACGAGGTTAGTATTGATCTGAAAGGTTTTGGGAACACATATGTAGGAGGACTGTGGGTTCAAAATGCTTGTTGAATAAACACTGTGCTTAAAAATCACTACATTGTGGATAACATCCTACTTACATTTACTGCTAATTCATTTTCTCTCAAATATCTGCTACCTGACATCTTTGACTGACTTGTTCTGAATATCCACGCTGGCACCATGTTGTCTAAATCTTTGCTTGAAGAAAGGCCAGAAGATTGTGTGATTGTGTGTGTAGAAAGATGAGAGGGGGAGGAGAGGGAGAGAGAGACAGAGAGATGGATGGGGGGGGTAAAGAGAGACAGAGAGAGCACCAGTGTCTAATAGCAACCACTACAAATTACTATGTTTAATTTGGTCATAATCACATCAGGGTTTCATAAACTCATCAACCTCAATCAGGCTAATTTCACAGATCTGAGATGACTAGTCTGAAACAAGGATTACAATTTAGTAGCTATATGACTGACTCCTCAGCTGACGCCCCATTCAGGAAAGCTATCACCTCACCTGTAAAGGGTACTCAAGGTAACAACCTCATAGGGTGTTTTATAAATTAAGTTTAAAGACTACGAAACGCTTTTCTTGAATCCTAGTCATCTAATATACATGTGGGTAAATCATTAGTTGCAAACACTTTTCTAAAGGACTGTGAAGATGCTCACAGGTTGGATTTACCCTCAAATGTGGAAGGAGTATCAGCACCCATGTTTCATTCTAGGGGTGTGGAGACCCTAGAAATGCCTTCCATTGTTGGTCGTGTATAGCGGAGGATCTGGGGTGAGGGCGCTGGAGTTTCCAGGTTGTTGACACGTGATAGTCACAGACAAGCAGATGACTTACTGGAGGATGAACAAATACAGAGGTGCCTGGGGTGTTCCTTGTCTCACCCGTAGCCCGGCTCCAAGGCACATGAGGGACTGGGAGTAAAGGTTAAGACTTTTCACAGTACCCGCCAGACTCATACACGGTACCCCATATCCTGCAGGCTTCTCTGATCATGCCCCACTTGTCAACAATCTCAGTCTCTTTCGTGTTCCCAAGTTCATCTCTGAAACTCCCATCTACGCGGTTTTCTGCTCTGTCCAGTAGGTCACTCCTGAGCACACCAGTTGCCAGGATCCTTCCCACTCATATTAATTTCACTCTGGAGCTCCTTGCACCTCTCTCTTCATCCTTCCTCCTCAGGACCCTATTTACCCTTGCCCCTGCGTTCACAGAAACCTCCACTCCTCAGACCTTGAGAAAACGAAAGCCACTTCAGCACTAGGCCACCAAGAGGAAGCCGGACATGCGCAGAGGCCTGGGGAAGCCATGGGCTGCGAGCGCGGTCAGACTGAGCCCCTGGTGCCAGCGCGCGGCCTCACAGAGCCACTCGGGGACGAGAGGCAGGGTTGGCCCGGGCCGGGAGGGCCACCTCGTACCTGATAGCGCCCGGTGAGCAGCTGGCTCCGCGAGGGCGTGCACAGCGGCTGCACGTAGTAGTTGTCCAGGACCACCCCGCCGGCCGCCAGCGCATCCAGGTGCGGCGTGCGGATAACCGAGCCGTGGAAGCCCACGTCATTCCAGCCCAGGTCGTCTGCCAACACGAAGACCACGTGGGGCGGCCGGGCAGCCCCGGAGGCCAGGCCCGGCGACGGCAGCAGGAGCAGCAGCGACAGGAGCAGCAGCTGCTGCAGCCCGGGGCCTCGGGCCTGCCTCCCCGTGCATCCTTTCGGCTCGTCCATCCTTTGCAGCCAGCGGGGCCGGAGCTGCTGTTGTCCCGGACAGAATCGGGAACTGAGTGGCTCTGGGACCCACAAGATTTCATTCACCTGGGCGGGCCGCGGACTGGGGAGGGCTGACATCCACGCCCTCTGCCTCCAGGGAGGGTGGAGCCCGCACAGAGCACTGCTTGCAAACTCCACTGGGGGCTTCCAAAGCCCAGAGCAGATTAAATCTGGGCCGCTAAGCGCTATAATTACCTCCAGAAGAAACCACCTTCTAAATGGTTCGGACTCCTAGCTCCACATTCTCGTCTCCTTGTGTTTGTGTGTCTGTGCGTCTCTCCAGCTTTCTCGAGTGTGTGTATTGTAAGCTAGCAAGTTGTGTCTAGTTCAAGGCCAGTCTGGGGCAGGTGAGAAAATAGAGAAGAGAGCCATGCAGATGGTGTTTCGGATTCATTTATGAAAAGTGTGCACCCATGAAGCCACTTCCTTCCCACCAACAGTGGGCCAAACACACAGTCCATCTGCACAGGGGCTTTTTGATGGTGAAGTTTCATTTCCAAGCTGTTTGGGGTGTGCCCACGGAAGACTGTCTGCTTACTCAATGTCTAGAAATGAGCGATAACTGTTAGGTGGAGGGGAAAATACTGCCCAACTAGAGAACACAGCCTCTCAGGCTGAGGCCAAGTCCACGGGAGCTATTTACTGCTTTAGAAGCGGCAGATGAATGATAGCCTTGAAAAATTAACCACTGCTGGTGTACCTAAATGACTATGCAGGTGATCGACAGGCATTTGTTGTATTGTTCCTTATACAGGTTTTAACTCCCTCATTAAGTTTAACAAAAATCTGATGGTGTTCATTTTTACATTTGTGTGAGAGTAAAGAATTTTTCCTTTTTTGGAAAATTATCCTTAAATGTACATTGCCCTCTTAACATACTTATATTTTTTCCTTTGAAGTAGATAACTAGTTTTCACCTTTAGTAAAATGTAGTCGGAAAGTTTTAAATTTTAGCGTTGTAAATCCCGAAAGACGATTTTAAAGATCAGCGTGTTCCCCTATATGTTGAAGATAGTATAGGAGACAGAAGCGTCCATTGTGGTCTTTGCATATTCTTCTACCCCATAAATTGTCTCTATATCCCCCTCCATTTTTTTTGAGCCAGGTGCTCATTGTGTAGCCCAGGATAGCCTCCTCCAGCTCTCTGTCCTTCTGCCTCTTCATCCCAGGCTCTCCCTACCCTTCTTGACAAAACTCCAACAGCCTAGCAAAACCCTCCCTTATTACTGTTCCTGAAACTAAGCACACACCCAGACTTCCGGTGTCCTACACTTACAAGTAAAAGCACGTGGGTTGGTGGTGCCCCGGAAATGTGCACATGGAAGGGTCGCTTTTGGTTTTCATCTATGTACCGAATACCTGTGGCGTGCATGCTGTGACCAGCGGTTGCTCTTGTTTTCTTTTGTCTTGAATAATCTCTCTGCTGGTGTTCATTTGATGCTTCATCAGAATTTGACTCAGGCCACAGCTTTGTACACGCATCAGGAAAGCGGTGTAGGTGCTTCTTGGTGCCTGAGACAGAGACACAGTGTTTGCTCTCTGGTGAGATCACTGTGTTACTGGCATCCTGTCTCCTCTGTAAAGTTACCGTTCCCCCCTTGTAATTGCTATGTAGTCCTTAAAGTCTGCTGTCCGGTTTTCATTTCTTGCTTGGATTGGTTATAATTAGGATGGCTGCCATAGGATGGCTACCAATAGTGACCTTTTAGTTTTCTCTCTATGAGTTTCTGAGTTTCCTATTTAATTCACTATGAACTCTTGGGATCTGGTTTTGATTAATATGCCCTAATTCTTTAACATAATTACCTTCCCCATCTCAACAGGCAAAGAATGCTTTATTGGAACAGTGAGTGGCCCCAACCTTTCCGAGGGATAAAGGTTGAATATATTTGGTGTAGCTGGGAGATACATACATACACACACACACACACACACACACACACACACACACACACACACACACCACACTCACTTAGGGAGTTAGAGCCATTTTTTTTTTTTTTTGTGATTTGATTGGGAGCAGAATGAATTGTTTTCAGTATCCGGGCTTATTGTTTCCTCAACTAGACCCAGAATGGTCAGACTGGAGCTAAGTTATTCTTTATGACTCAGGGATATTACACCTGTACAGCTTGACTCAATTCCGCATGATCTGAGGCAAACATATCCCAACTCTGGGAGGATAAAAAGAAATAAAAAGGGGGGGGTGTGGTTTCAGGGAGGCTACTTCCTGTTGGAAGGTGGATATAATCTCAACATTGGAAAGGGCATGTTGAGGTAGCTTCCAGGTGGGAAAGGGGCTGGTAGTTCTGTGATGGTCAGTTCAAGGCTGATGTTTGCTGGTGTTTTGTTGCAACAGAATTAAGTTTCTACATTAATTTTCAAAGAACAAGTTCTCTGTAATACTCAGTTTTATCAGCGAGTGAGAGGTGCCTCTCCATTTCCTAAGACCTACTTTTGTAACCTTTCGGCGTACATTAAGATTTTCCTCCAACACTTTTTTTTGGTGGGTTTTAAAAATTTACTTATTTTTATTTTATGTGCATTTATGTTTTGCCATGGATATCAGGTCCCCTGGAACTGGAATTATGGACAGTTGTAAGCTGCCAAGTGAGTGCTTGGAACTGAACCTGGGTCCTCTGGAAGAGTAGTCAGTGCTCTTAACCACTGAGCCATCTCTCCAACCCTACTCTAATACTTTCACACTTACCTTATTAAATTAATTCCTTAGTACTTCTCCTTCTCTGCTGTTGTTAAAACTGAGATGACACTATCAAATCGTTCTTAGGTATGCGCCTTGAAGTTTTAATCATCTAAAAAGATAATGTGGAACAATAATCTCTAATACAATCTTCTATTGGAGTTAGGGAAAGTTATGGATGGCATGATTTTATTTTCTTCGTGTGTGTGTGTGTGTGTGTGTGTGTGTGTGAGTGAGAGAGGAGGGGAGGGAGGTAGCGGTGGCAGTGGGGGGGTGCTGGTCGTCCCCAGGTAGACAGGCTGACTGGGTATTTTTCACCATGAATCCTTCTGTACCTTCAATCTCAGAAAAATCTCTGTATCTGAGTGTAGAGTGTAGCCTTCCCTGCCATCCGCCTGAGCCCTGCCACAGTTGTAGTCCCCAAATTATACACAGGATGCTTTATTAATTATAAAGCTGTTGGCTGTTTGCCTGTTTCTTACTGACTATCTCTGACTTAAGTATTTACTCCATAATTGTTAATCTAAATATTTCTCTTACTGGAGAAAGGGTCCGGACCTCTTACTCTTTTTTTTGTTTGTTTGTTTGTTTGTTTGTTTGTTTTTCGAGACAGGGTTTCTCTGTAGCTTTGGAGACTGTCCTGGAACTCACTTTGTAGACCAGGCTGGCCTCGAACTCACAGAGATCCGCCTGCCTCTGCCACCCAAGTGCTGGGATTAAAGGTGTGTGCCACCAACGCCCGGCTGGACCTCTTACTCTTATGGTGGCTACATAGTGTCTCCCAGTGTCTCTCTTTCCCAGAATCCTCCTCGACTCCTAGTCCCACCTGTCTTGCTTCCCTATTGGCCAACAGTGCTTTATTGACATATGCACAGGACTCCCGCTTCATCTCCTCTTTTCTGTCCAAATAAAAAGAAAGGTTTTAACTTTAACATAGTCAAATTCTATAATAGAACAGTTATCAAGTAAGAATATAGTTACAATATTTTGTGTCCCGCGCTACCGTCTCGCCAGCAAGAACGACGCAGAACACTCGGATCCTTCTGCAGTAAAGCTTTAATGCATCTTGAGAGATAGATGATCAGCTTCTTAGAGGGAGACCCCAAGCTAAGAAACCCAGCCCCTTATATAAGCCTAGGAGCTCCGAGTGAGACGTGTAGAGCCGGGATTGGTGGTTTGCACATCACCCCAGATGACGCCACGGGAGAGGCACAGCTTAAACGGTTAACTCCAACTGACAGCAGATGTCAGCGCCATCTTCTAACGGTTAACTCCAACTGACAGCAGATGTCAGCGCCATCTTCTAACGGCAATAGCGATAGCGAGGGCGGCTCCTCACAATTTTGTTCATTAACATTTAGTAAGATTTAAAGAAAATATCATCTATCCTATCTTTGTGAGTCTAAAGTCTTATATGTAACTTATCTTTTATCATAACTAAGGAAAACTATGATTATAACTATCTGCCTTCAACTCCATGAAAGACCACAGAAGGATAATATATAAACACTAGAATTGACAGAGGCATCTTGCTACGTGGACAGTCACCTGAAGTTTCTCTATAATGTTGGAGCATTCATCTTCAGCCCATAGGCTACAGTGTGTTTGAAAGACTTCTCAGCAGGAAATTTCAAACTGTCCATCTGCATTGGCAGTTTGTCATTTATTTTTCTGTGTCCTGCAGAAAGTCTGGTAGACTCTTCTATGAAGCAGGAACCCTGTATGACTGTTTGAGTTCAGCAGTCACTTTCCTGTGTGTCCTGCATGTCCAGTTTATACAGCAACAGTCAATCAGTCCATGTAAGAGTGGTTTCTTGCCCAAATGGCTCATCTTGCCATGTTGAAAACAAACTCCATAACGAGTTTCTTCGATGCCCATCTTCCTCTCAGATATAATTGATTTGTGCCAAGACCAGACATTTCTCATTGTCAAGAAAAACCCTAAACCATTTTAAATGCCATTTTCTGAAGATCTTTGAAAGGTTTGAAGACTATCTATTTCAAATATATCTCTATATCTAGAAAACATAACTTACCTAACTATAAGTTCTGACTATTATAAGTAACTATCCACAGTCTGTATTTAATTATGCATAAAAGATCAGTATAAGCACAATACTTAGTCAAGAGGAGAAATATACGTATCACAAAATTGACCTTGGATTTGTGTCAACAATGAAAATCCATTCCAATACAAAGTATTCATTTCCATACCATAACCCCCTTTACCTTTAAAAAGAGATTGGTTGTGATCATTAACCAATTATAAGCAACCCCATTCAAATGAAAACAAAGATTTATAAACAATATGGGAATTTGGACGTTGCTCATTCCAAACTGCTTCCTGCTGGATGGGGGTGCTGTTCATACCATGGGGATCATGACAAAACTCAGAAACGTTGGCCAAAGTCTTTGTTTTTTGTAGTCCTTAAGGCTATATCATGTCAGCTGTTTTAGATGTTGAACTGCCTGAGACATTGCTTCAGGGGGGTCTTGCCATATTATTCTGGAACCATATTATTATTCTGGAACCATATTATTATTATTATTCTGGAACCATATTATTCTGGAAGGAATCCACTGCTTTTCATTTTCTGTGGAAACACAAATGGAAT